CCGCCCGCCGGGCACAGGAAGAAGTCAGCGGGGAAAGCAGCGCCGAGTAGTTACCAGGGCTGGCCGCTGGAGGTGAGAAGGGTTTTTAAAAGTTGGGAAAGTTTGACTGAAGGTGGCGGAGGAGCAGAGAATCCAGCGCAGGAGATCCCTGAGCTGTGGTTTGAGCAGGTGTGGCTGAGTGAAGGATTTGCCCTTTGCTGGCTCTAGCCCTCCCTGTTTGGGTTTGTATTTTTTTTCCTTTCTTTTTTTTTTTCTTTACTACCCCCTGCAGCACACTAGATCTGACTTTTGATCACACGGGATTTATTTTTATTTTTATTTTTATTTTTATTTTATTTATTTTTCCTGACCGATATGGCTGCAGAGCAGCCTGATGACTCACAGGTTGGAATCTCGCAGCTACGCCGGCTGGGAGCCGTGGAGTTTCAAGGACTTCAACGGGTGACACAGAAGGCTGTTCTTGAAAGGAGAAAAAAAAAAGTGTGGTACATCTTCCAGTGATTTATAAATCCTTTTGTAACTCCAAATTTTTCTCTCATTGGCTAGGCTGGCCCTTGAGTTTTGCCTGTTTTTAGGAGTATCCATATGAATGTCTTGCAGCCGTGCTCCAGTATCTGGCTAGACACTGTTATCTGGCAGATTCAGTACTTATGGACCTTGTTGCTGATGAACTCTTGTTTGCGGATTTTATGCATAAGAGCTTGGTCTGTATTCATGTTTGGTAGCTGCGGAGTTGTATCAGTAGTTATTTTAGCACAATGTGTTTACAGTATAAAGGTAGTTACTGGTTGTGTGCCTATGGGTTGTGTCCACAGGTTTGCTGGGAATGTTTCCTAAACGGGTTTTTTCTGTTCTTCCTCTAATTCACTTATTTATCAGCCCTCATTTTTTTTTTAAGCTGTATGATCACCTAGAAAATGTTTTGCAGTTGATTCTCCTATTTTTTGTATATTGTCAAAATATTTTAAAAGTTGTGTTCTTGACAAAAGATACTTTCAAGAAGCATCTGCTAATTTTGCAGACACTGGCAAAAAGCTTGGGTGCAGATGTGTGTTACAGAGGTATTTTATGCAAAATATTTTTTTTTACTTATAAATGTGACACTGGCTTCAGCTCCAGGCAGGTTCACAATTTATTTGTATTGTGGTATTATTTACTGATTGAGAAGCAGATCAAAAGCTGTTCACTAGTGGAAGCAGCAACACAACCTTATTTTTCCCCCTTTTCCCAGTGTGTTTGTATTTAGCAGGTGCAGTATGGTCCAAAAGTTCCCCAATTCAAGCAATTTAGGACAGGTGGGGAGTCTGGAAGTCCTCAGAGCAGTTCATTTTATCCCTTCATCTCGCAAGCTAACCCTGTTTCTCCCAGTGCCACAGCTAGTTCTGGAAAACCAGTACATTGTGAAACTGCTGGATTAATGCCATTCCAGCTTCCACTGTGCAATTTTTCCTGCTTGGCTATGTGATGGAACCTGTCAGAAAACTGTCTGCCCTAAGAACTGTGTTTTTCTCACATGAAAAAGCTGTTGTACATTTGCACGCCAGAGATGTGTTGTCACTGGAATATGATCTGTTATTCAGCCATGCCTGTCATCTTCTGTTTCTATAGGTGAAGCAGATGTTCCCTTCCAAAATGACTTTCAGAGCTCTGGTTTTGTGTCTGTTTTGTGCTGGGCTTGGAAAGGCAAATGGTAAGTTGAATTTCCTCAAATCTACCTGAAATCTCCCCAAACTGAAGATGGGTGGGGAACTGGTTTTTGATCTCTGAGGCTTCAACATTCAGAGGAAGAGGCAATAATAGGTGAAATACAGATTTCTGATGCCATTTGACATATGTTGATAGCCGAGACATAGACATGGAATTGGCAGATGTGACACAAGACCTCCTGGAACAGCATTGGGACATGGGAGGGACATGCAGCATCCCATATCTATAATGACACTGGACACTTGTTCACCCGAGTTCACAACTTCCCACAGTGGATCCTCCCCTCAGGAAAAAATCTCTCTATTTCCCTCTCTTTCTCTCAAATGCACTACAAGCTCTGAAGCTACATAGTCCAGAAATTCTCTTTAGCTCATTTTGCTGCTCAGTTCTCTGAGAAAGGCTTGGCTTGAGGCCTGGCCTTTCCTTGTGCATTCAATCTTCCCCCCAGCTTCTAGGAAACAAAAATTGTGTGTTTGCTAACAGTGGGAAGCCATGACCTGATTTAATAAAACTGAAGTGAGAATTCTGCAGTTTGGGATACAGAAATAATGTGCCTTTTACTTTTATCCAGTTAAGAAGAAAGCCAGGGCCTCACCCAGTATAAATCAGCATAACTTCATTGATTTCTAAGGGGGTGCAAGAAAAATAACCTTTTGTTGGGGGAAAACCATATAATCAATATGTAATTGATAGAATTGTTGGGTCTGTGGGTAATCTAGGCCTTAGAATGAGCATTAGGGTTCTGAATATATGTGGTATCTGCCCGTTTCACTAACTATTTCATGTTGCTGCAGTGGTTCCACGGGCTGAACACAGAAGCGTGAAGGTGGGTGCCAATGTGACTCTCAGCTGTGTCCTGACAGAACCCAAGGACGTTGTGCAAGTGACATGGCAAAAGGACACTGAAACATCACAGAATAATATAGCTACATACAGTAACTCAGGAGTATTAAGGATTCATGAGCCCTATCAAGACAGAATGAATTTCACAAGTCTGGTACTCAATGAGACCAACATCACTTTCTGGGACACTAGAATGGATGATTCAGGGTGTTACACGTGTCTCTTCAATACTTTTCCTCTCGGCTCCTTCTCGGGACGTACCTGCCTGAGTGTCTTTGGTGAGGTTCTCTGCTGGGTTCTTCTCTAGTGGAAAAAGAGCTGTTTTCTCTCTCACCCACAGCATTTCCTTGAGGAGACTCAAGAACTGCAGTGATAGGAGCATCTTCTGGTGGAACATAGTGTAGAAAAGAGTTTTACTACTGTGAACAAGGCTCTGTAGAGTTGTATTCAAGCCTCTTGTGGTTGTTTTGCCTCTGGGCTGTCACAGCTTGTTATTCAGTAAATAGCAACTGAAAAGTGAGGAGGGGGATCTTTTTTTGTAAGCCTCTGAGCAGTCCCAGCTGAAACTTGGGCAAACTAACATGGCCTGTTGCAGTTTCTTCTTGGAGCCAGGTACAACCCTTGTGCTGTGGGCTGCTGTTCTGAACCTTACCATTGATAGGGAATTAGCAAGTACTAGAACAGCATGGACCAAGAAATGGTTTTACTTTAACAGAGTATTTTTAAAACCTGGGATTTCAGGTTGAGTGAAACCTTTGGGGGGACATAACTTCAGTACAGGGGAAGAAATACTGAATCACAGAGGAGATCTGACCCAATGAACTCTTCTGGCATTCGTGTGCTGTGGGGCTCAGTGGAAATCCAGTAAGCTTTGCTCTGATTGATAATGTTCAAACTGCTATTATTGCTTATGACCAGGTGCTCATTGTGATGATGGATTTTCTCATTTGTGTGTTGGAAGGTCTCAATGCATCTGTCCATTACAACATTTCCAAAGGTCATATGATAGCCATCTGCAATGCCGTTGGTATCCCAGAGCCCACCGTCACCTGGAACAACTTGTTCAATTCTACTCCTACACAGGAGAGGTTCAGGTACAAAAATGGGGTGGTGTCCATCATCAGTAGACTGGAGATCTTCAGCACTCAGAGCATCAGTGCCCAGGACTTGTCCTGCAGAGTAAGCAACAGCAATGAAAAAATGGAATTGCCTGTGGAAATGAAAGGAGGTAGGTGAACAATAGAGGCTGCTTGGTAGTGTTCTCTTGGCCTCAGTGTTTCACAGTAGCATGTTTGGATAGGCATCTGCTGGGAAGAGGAGGGAGGGAAATGTGTATGTGCCAAGTAAGAAGAAAGAAAATCCAACTTTGTGTTTATTGGTGTGCTTGACATGGTAACATATTAGAGTCCCCTCCAGGAGGGGGAACAAACAAACTTAGTCAGCTAGGGAGCTCTGGTTTTTAGAGTCACCACACATTTTTGCAGTAACTCAATCTTCAGTTTTCATGCAACCTTTCATAATTTCTTTGGTAGTCCAAAGATAGATATAAATATTTGTCACCTGATGTTTACCTAGATGAAGTAAAATCTCTGTGGGTTGCTTCATGAACACTGAAGTGGAAGTTTTAAATCAACAACAAATTATATCTGAACAGCAATTAACCGAGTGTTTAATTTAATCTTACTGTATGCTTTGCTACAGTTAACTTGGGTATTGTATTTTAGTTTCTCTGATTTTTTTTTTTTTGCTAAGGCATGTGCATTTCAGTCAGGGTCAGGGAGAAATAGTATTTTCAGGCAGACAGGAAGGTGATCAGTTGCAGCTACCTTGTTTTTATGGGGAAATCTTAAATACATCAATGTCGTATCTGAATACCTTGTTCTGCTAATTTCTTTCTTCCAACATTTTGTTCTACTGGAAAGACTTTCGCCCTAGTTCTGTAGATGAGAAATAGAAACATAAAAAGCTAAAGTACCATCCTAAGTTTACAGAGAAACACTGATTTAGGTAGTTTGTAATTAATGTGTCTAAAAATCCAGAGCCTTAAAAGGAAGACTGCTTGAAAATGAGGAAGACATGAAAAGCAGTTTGGGCTTGTGGGGTAATGCCCAAATTATGGGATCAAGAAGTGATTGTTATAGGAATAGTAGTAAAGAGTCAGATTTGACTTTTAATATATTCTCTCTAAAAGTTAAAAAGCAAATTAGTTCTTAGTTCTGAGCAACACTGTTTGAAAAAGCACTATAAATCTTTATGTCCTGTCTCAAGTGCAGTATTCTTTTGTTTTGACCTTTTAAAAAGGAAGTGTGTATCTCAGAAAGCGTGAAACTAAGACTTGTTATTCTTTGCTAGGGGAATGAAAAATGAGGTAGTAGTTTGTTGTTTTAATAATTTATATTTTAGAGAAAGTGAAATTCAAATGAATACTTCAGATTACCTTTGTTAAAAGATGGGATAATTTTGGCTTGATTCATATAAATTTTAATTCAGAAAGTTTTCCAGCTAACATCAGTGAGCACGGAAATAAGTCGTTGCATGATCGTTCTGATTAATGGCAGTCAAATTAAGTGGCTGATGTCTAGCCAGGGAGGGACATTTACACTCAGGTGTTCGGTAGAACTACTTGCAGGCATCAAAACATAGCCTGTCTTTTTTCTGAAAGTTAGTTTAGCCTTTGCAACAGTGATAAGTATTTGACAATAAAAGGAATAGCTTTTACTTTACGAACAGAAAACTAAAATTCTGGATGAACAAAAAAACTCTTCAGAAAGACTTGTATGAAGTTCTGCTTGTGTACTCATGCCGACTACCATCTCAGAGATGGGATGACAGTTTTGTTTGCTATGGTTGAGCATCTTTTCTTCACAAAGATTTTTGTGTGAGCAAGTAGGTTTGTCTTCAAAGACACCCACATTCTTTTGAACAATTACTGCTTTCATGTAGCTTAGCGATAACTTTCACAATCTTGATGAGGATCCACTCTCATTAATCAAACATTCTCTTGTCTCCTTTTGCTCTTTTTCATATATAAATTGGCTGAGTTTCATGTTTTGTTTTTTGTTGTTGTTTTGCTTTTACAGAAGGGAGAGCCTCATTGCTTTGGCTGATGATTCCTGTGGGCATTTTAATTGTCATAAGTCTGATTCTGATAACTATGTGCTGGAGGAAGAGGATATGCAAGAGGGCTTGAAGCGATGAGTCACTGATGCATGGAAACCAACAGTTTTTGCCCCTAATAATAAGGTGTGGTCCTCAGTAGAGAAGAACAATACTCTGTTGAGAGTGGGTATGAAACTTAGTGATTGATGATTAGTGGGTATGAAACTTAAATTGGACAAATGAACTTTTTGTGAAGTGTTTACAGTTACTAGAGGTTGCCTCAGTTGCATATAATTTTAAGAGCTGTTTTCCCACTTAAACTGAGACAGTACAAAACTTGGTTTCAAGGTGTTCATGTCTGAATATGGCCAGTTAACTGTATTTCAAAGAGAGGCTGAGCCTCTGTATCTCGAATGTTACACAAGTGCTATTTAACAGATTGAAAATACCTCTGTGATATCAGCTAGAGTTCACTTAATGCCTGAATAGGAATTTAAGACACTCTGATTATTATTTGCAGCAACTTCCAAACTTAAAAAAAATTCTACAGATTCAGGCCTGTTAAACTGCACACAGCAACTTGCCTGATCAGCCATAATATACAGCTATTGGGAATCTAAGCTTTGGTAGCCACAGATGTCCTGAAAGTTTGGGAAATATGAAAGTCTGGTGCAGGAGATTCCAGTTACATGGGAAACTTTACAAGACCAAGTACTTGCACACATCTTCCATTGCTTTGTTTACAGTAAAAATAGAAATTATTTCTGGAAGAACCATAATAGCAGTATCCTCTGGTGTGTTTATTCAGTCTGGGGAAGGCTGTGTGTCTAAGCTTTGGCTTAAAAATTATGACAATTCTTGTTTTATCTGTACGACTTGGCTTGTTTTGTCAATCAGTTCGCTTTGACGTACAGCTGGTTTTCTTAACAGTGAGAGGCTGGGTGGCTGCGATCAACATAGTAGCAGGTCAGCCTAGGGAGACTTTTCAGAATAACTTTTTCCAGAAGTGACAGCTGAATACCAGCCTTTCAGATGATAAACTTAGGACATAACTCCTTCTTTCATAAGTCAGATAGATGTGGCACACCCTTCTGGCAGAGGAACTGGTCTTTGGCCATCGAGTCCCAGTTGGAAAGGCATGTTTTACAAAATGTGTTGATTTCCTCTCATGTGTGGCTTTATCATGGGTAGGAGATTGTATTTGTCTTGTTTTGAATTGCAAAAAATATGCAGTGGTATAAGTGAAAGTTGTTTTGCTTGGAACAGCCTCATTCCTTTACCCTTCTAAACACTACTCTGGAAAAAAACCACCAAAAATAAACCAACCAACCAAACAAAAAAAACAATCCAAGAAACCCCAGTGTAAAAATGTTGTAGCCAAACAGATCTAAACAGGGCTAATGAGGGGAGAAATAAACAAAACACCAAACATACAAAAATGTCAACAGAGGGGTAATTCTGCTGTCAGGCTGCCTATCAGGTTTCCCACAGACATAAATATTTTGGAACCCAAGTAAAAATTTTTTTTAAATTTAATCACACACTGCTTTCAGACAGCTCCTATTCTGTTGTACATCACTTAATTTTCTGTTCACGAAAATGTACCTGGCAGTACCCCCCAGCCTCACATATATAGAGAGAGAGTAGAGGGGAAGGGAAAGGAAGGGAAGGCAGATGGATGAGCTTGGGTTTCTTGGGGCATAGCTGGGATTTTTGTCTGGAAGTATGGAATAAATCGTGTTTATGACCAGCAGTATGAAGGTAGCAGTGTAGGAAACATCTCAGAGCTTGTCCTGCCTATACAAAGTAGAAGTGTCAAAGTGTACACTACTGAAAACAACACCATTTCTTTGCAAATAGGAAGCCTTTACTATGTGTGATTAGTACATTTCTATCCTGTGCATCATATCTGTGGTTGTATTTAATTATTAAATAATTTCCAGTATTTTGTTCTGCTTTGCAATTCCAACAGTAGGGCTTTGTATATAACCAGAAAATAAAATGCCAGGCAGCTGAAAGAGATTTAAAATAGAGCTTCTGTGATATATTAATAGTTGCCTTGCTCTTTCAATTTGCTGTTTACTTCCTTGGTATTGGATTGAGAACAGCCTTGAGGCGAAGGATTGATGAAAAGCTCGGCATGAACTGGCAATGTGCGCCTGCAGCCCAGGAAGCCAACCATGTCCTGGGCTGCATCAAAAGCAGCGTGGCCAGCAGGTTGAGGGAGGTGATTCTCCCCCTCTACTCTGCAATTGTGAGACCCCACCAGGAGTGCTGTGTCCACTTCTGGAGCCCCCAACACAGGAAGGGCGTAGAGCTCTTGGAGTGAGTCCAGGAGAGGGCCACAAAGATGATCAGATGGCTGGAGCATCTCTCACATGCAGACAGGCTGAAGGAGTTGGGGCTGTTAAGCTTGGAGAAGGGAAGGCTCTAAGGAGACCTTTTTTCAGCCTTTCAGTACCTGAAGAGGCCTATAGGAAAGCTGGGGAGGGGTTTTTACAAGGGCATGTAATGATAGGACGAGGTTTAAGCTGGAAGAGGGGAGATTTAGGTTAGACACTAGGAAGAAATTCTTTAGTGTGAGAGTGGTGAAACACTGGAATGGGTTGTCCAGGAAAGTTGTGGCTTCCACCCCCTGGAAGTGTTCAAGGCCAGGTTGGATGGGGCTCTGAGCAACCTGATCTAGTAGGAGGTGTCCCTGCCCATGCAGGGGGTTTGGAACTAGATGATCTTTAAGGTCCCTTCCAACTCAAGTCTTTCAGTGATTTTATTATGTGTCTTACTCTTCTATGCAAAAAGTAAGGATGCCATATATTTTTTTCTTTTTCTTTTCAAAGCCATGTAAAGGTAGCACCATAAATTTGGTGACATTCTGAAATATCAAACGATATATTGAATAAATAACAATAATGAATACATTATTGAATAAATATAATTCATTTAATAAATATAAAAATAAAACATTGTCAATGTGATGTCCATGTACAAGAAGGGCTGGAAGGAGGATCCAGCGAACTTCAGATCTGTCAACCTGGCCTGGGTACCAGACAAAAGAACAGAGATGCTCATCTTGAGTATGCTCACATGACAGGTGCAGGGCAGCCAGAGCATCAGGCCCTGCCAGCATGGGTTCAGAAAAGACAGGTCCTGCTTGACTAACCCAATTTCCTTCTATGACCAGATGACCCATGTAGTGGATGAGGGAAAGGCTGTGGACATTGTCTATCTGGACAGAGCTTTTGGCACTGTTTCCCACAGCATTCTCCTGGAGAAGCTGGGGGCACATGGCATAGATAGGTATGCTCTTCTCTGGGTAAAAAAAATGGTTGGATGGCTGAGCCCAGAGAGTTGTAGTGAAGGGGGTTGGATTCAGTTAGTGGCTGCTCACCAGTGGTGTTCCCCAGGGCTCAGTTTCTGGGTCAGCCTTGTTCAGTGTCTTTATTAGTGATCTAGATGAAGGGATTGAGTACTTCCTCAATAAGTTTGCAGACAACACCAAATTGGGTGGGAGTGTTGATCTTGAGGGTAGGAAGGCTCTGTAAAGGGACCAGCAGGAGTAGAGAACTGATCATGCCCCTGTACTCATCATTGGTGAGGCTGCACCTCGACTACTGTGTTCAGTTCTGGGCCTCTCACTGTAGGAAGGACTTTGAGTTGTTGGACCAAGTTCAGAGGAGCAACAAAGCTGGTAAAGGGTCTAGAGAACAAGTCATATGAGGAGAGGCTGAGGGAACTGGGATTGTTTAGTTTTGAGAAGAGGAGGCTGAGGGGAGACCTCATTGCCCTCTACAGCTATCTGAAAGGAGGTTGTAGTGAGGTGGGTGTTGGCCTCTTCTCCCAACTGAACAACAATAGGACCAGAGAAAGTATCCTAAAGTTGCAGTAGAGGAGGTTTAGATTGGATATTAGGAAGAATTTCTTTACCGAAAGAGTGGTCAGGTGAACAGCCTGCCCATGGTGGTGGTGGAGTCAACAACTTTGAAGGTATTAAAAAAACATGTAGACATGGCACTTAGGACATGCTCTAGTGGGCATGGTGTTTTTTTCTGGGTTAACGGTTGAACTTGGTGAATTTAAAGGTCTTTTTAATCTGTGACAATTCTGTGATTCTGTAATATTCTATTTTGTGTATTACCAAAACCAAGGAAGTTGGTTTACTTTTCAATTTACAAATCTATTTATGGGTTTGTGCACTTACTGTCTCATGGTCATATTCTGAATTCTGCAGTGTGTGGTTTCCCTATTTAAAGAAAAAAATTGGCTTAGTAGTAGGTGCATAGTAAGTTTGTAAAAATCCAGGTAATATTGCCTTCAGATCAACTTCTGTCATAATCTCAAATACTGTTTGGACAGGTGTTGATAGTTGTAGTTTAAGTGCCACAAAGAACAACGTAATAACTTATCTGATTCATTCAATATTGTATAAATAGAAAATGAGGAATGTCTGTTTCTTCTTTTTCTTTTTTTTAATATTTATTTTAATAAATAATTTCTATTGCATACAAATACATCAATACTAAACCTGAAAATTCATCCTGTCGTGCTCTGTGTCTTATGTTTGGAAGTGCCTCCTGATTTTTTTCTTTTTTCCCTGTTAAAATATACAGTAAGACTTTTACTCACTGTCAGTTTTGTTCATTCAGAAAGGGACGTTACAATTGTCCAGCTAATTTTAAAATACCTTATTAAATCTCTGGGAGATGCAAGCAAGTGAATCTCAAGCTATGCTTACATTGAGGCAAAGGACGAAATTATGGGATGCAGTGTGTAGTCCAGATGGCTGCAGCCAGCTGCAGGGCTGGCTGACAGTACCGTGCAGCACATGGCTGCTACTCCAGCCTTTACCTGAGGGCAGGAATGGGTCATCAACTGATCTTTCCAAATGTCCATCTCATGCGAGTGTTAGATCTCCTCCAAGTTCCTGAGCAGGGCTGGCTGCTGCTTAAAACAAAGGGCAGAATAATCAAGTTATGACATGACACTGCAAGTTCCCAGAGAGTGCTCCAAATTACTGGTAGGCCTGGAGTTATTTTTGTTAACGATGTCTCTTTGGTCCATTTTGTCTAGCCACTGTAATCAGAGCTGTAGAGG